TGGAGCATTTCTGTTGGTTCAAGTGGTCTTGTTGTTAGATGCTACACATAACTGGAATGATTCTTGGGTCGAGAAGGATGAAAGGAAGTGGTATGTTAAAACATATGGACCTGCCCTGTGTTTATGTCATTACCCTTTATTTAACCCTTTTTAGAAGTTTGATCAAGGATTATTTTTTGACTTTATTGTTTCTCTATTTAGGTACATTGCTCTGCTTGTCATATCTGTCGTGTGTTACATTGCCACATATGCCTTCTCAGGAGTTCTGTTCATGTGGTTCAACCCGTCTGGTCATGATTGTGGACTAAATGTTTTCTTCATCGTCATGACTATGATCCTTGCCTTTGTTTTTGCCATTGTCGCTTTACATCCTGCGATCAATGGCAGCCTCTTACCGGCATCGGTTATATCCGTGTACTGTGCTTATGTCTGTTACACGGGTCTCTCTAGCGAACCACATGACTACGTTTGCAATGGACTTAACAGATCCAAGGCAGTCACCGCTAGTACGTTAACACTTGGAATGCTCACTACAGTTCTCTCTGTTCTCTACTCCGCCCTCCGAGCTGGCTCTTCCACCACATTCCTCTCACCACCATCTTCTCCCAGAGCAGGTACTTCCTCAAAACTCCTAAGAGCATTATTAGTCTTTTGTCAGTTTTCTGAACAGGAAGTGTGAAGTAGAGACTTAAACGTTGTGTCCAGGTGGGAAGGAGGCATTGTTAGAAGACCCTGAGGATGGGAAGAAGAGCGGTGAAGCAGAGGCACGGCCTGTAAGTTACTCATACTCTTTCTTCCATATAATCTTTGCGCTGGCGAGCATGTACGCGGCAATGCTTCTCTCTGGATGGACTGACTCATCAGAGAGTGCTTCTCTGATCGACGTGGGATGGACCTCGGTTTGGGTCAAGATTTGCACTGGTTGGGTCACGGCTGCACTCTACATCTGGACACTCATAGCACCGCACATCCTTCCGGATCGTGAGTTCTACTAAATGGCAATATCTGTCAGTAAAAGGCAACACTTATATATAATCTTGTGAATGTAAGTATGTGTTTATGTGTTAGCCATTTGAAAGTGAGTATGGTCTTGTAATGGTAATGTATGTAGCTATTATCATACTACTATATATACTGTAATTAAAACATGAACCAAAAAAACCTTGAATGTTAGTAGGTGTGTTCTTGGAACCTTTTGTCTCTTATGTAGTGCTGTTTATGATTGTGTTTCATATTAATGTATCAAGTTTTGAGATAAAACTATGTGAATATTTTCTTTGTTGGTAAGAATTACCAGACTCCAGTTGTTGACAAAATAAGTTCCAAACTTTGATTAGTTAAAAGAGAGCATTTTGTTGACAAAATATAAGTGAGAGAAATCGAAGTAACAAAATAAACCTTTAAAATGTTTCTTTCTGTAATCTTTTGTTTAGATGTGATCTCCATGCTGCTTCTTTATACAACTCATAAACTCAGATGATGTTGTAAAAGATGAATCGACAAGAAGGATCGGACAAAATGGTTTAATTAATCATTGCAATGCAAAATGTTCATTTTAAAGGGGATTTGGAGATTGATTTTGGTTTGTGTCATTAATAGAAAAGGGTCTAATGTTTCAATTAACAATTTGCTTGAAGATGTCAAACATTGGGAATCAATAAGTGCCACATCAATTGCATCTAAAGTCATTTCCCCCTGCCCGGCCTCAAAGTAAGAGATCAACATGGCAAGCATTGCTGGCCTAGAGTGCTAATGTTTTTGTTTCTTTTTCTTATGATCAGATGCAGATATGGGGGGTAATGGTTGGCAATTCCGAAAGGGTCTAGGGATGATATTGTTGCGAAGAAGGTTGTAAGAACAACATAGACCACTGATGAGCAAAGCCTCTCAAAGACTTTAGAGCACTTCAAATGCATAACAAACGAAATTGTGAAAGTGCAACTTAATTTGGAAGCTGAGAAAGAGATTTGATAAGCTGGAAAACCAAACAATGATCAATGTTTTAGGTGGACAAAGGAACCGAGACCTTGGATTTATAGATACTGTACTACTAAAGCTGATTTTCACTTTGGACAACCAAGTTTGTCTTTTTACAGAGTTTTAACATACACGAATAACAAAAAAACATACCAAAATCCAGACAAAACATAGCATTCAACATTCCAGCAAGAGAAAAGAAGAAGGTGGCATTGTCTGACAACTAGTTAATAACAAGAGAGAGAGAGAGCATTTTTTAGAGAGAGAGAGTTTCTAGTCCGCAGTCATGATCGTCTTCTGTTTTCCCGCAGCCAAAGCCAACCACGCTGAAACAAACAAACAGACGAATGAGTGAAAGCTTTTACCCTTTTGTTTTCTCAAAAAAAAAAAAAACATGGAAAAGAAGGAAGAAGGTAAACGACGTACCTTTGGGATATGTGCCAACGCTCACCCTTTTTATTGGGAGGACCTTATCAACTGCAATTTTAAAGCCTCCCACAGAACCTCCACTAAGTTTCAGAGCATTTTCAACAGCATCTTGACCATGGAGATAAACGAGACAACACCCGTCCCTATAAACAAAACAACCGGATCCAGGGAAAGCCTCACATACCATCTTCATGATATCATCCTCGCTAGCAAGAGAAGTATCAAATCCCGTAACGTCCAACCTAAATATAGCAAGAGATCATATTATCAACATGACAAAACAGGGATAACGATTTGTTAATTAATAAATAAGATAGATAATAAGAATTTTACCCGCGCTGTTTGTATTGCTCTGTGACAATGGTAGGAGCAAAGACATGGTCAAGGTGATTGTCGGCAAAAGGGTAAGCCGTAATTTCTAAAATACGGTCTCCTCCTCCCATGTCACTTCCATTGAGCTTCAATGCCTCTGCTTCACATTCTTCATTAACATAGATTAAAGCGTGACTGTAAAAGAAAGAGAAGACACAAAGAACATTATAGACTAAGCAGCAGCAGCAGCAGAGCGATCAAGCTAGAGGATGAGGAGGAAGCCACATAACCTCCTGCAGCAGAGAATACGACCGTGGAAGTCAACGGGAACAGAAACATGTATTAACTTTATTCCACGTGATGCGAAGTGTTTTCTCAGAGACTCTTCTACATCCTCCCTAGGAGGGGAGGTGTCGTATCCCTTGACCACCATCCTCCTAATAATGCTATTTATTTTGCAAAACATATATTAATTAAGACAAGAACACATGATGTATCTAATTAGATATAAAAATCTCAAAAAGAGACGAACCCGCTTTTTGGAATCTTTGCATCACCACCGACAACTTGCAGACTCTAAAGTAGATAAAAGATTTAATCAGCTATGAAGAAGAAACAACTAATTGGAGAAACAGAAAGCGATGATAAAGAAGAAGCGTTACTTTGATCTCGCGGAATCTCCTTAACCTGTTGCAAAGGATTTAATTAATGAATTAATCACCGTGAGATAAAACAACAACAACAAATGATCTATCTAATTAGAGATACAAATCTCAGAAAGAGAAACGAACCTCCTTTGTAGTGGAGTATCTGCATCACTAACCTTCGATTCCAGACCCTACGTTACGTTGTTACAATCGATCTAATCAGGAAAAAAAAAATCATACGAAGAAGAAGAAGAAAGAAATTAATTTAGAAATCGATAAGAAGAATTACTTTGTTCGCGGATTCGTCCATGGCTTGAGTGCTGCGCTAGGTTAGGTTTTTCGAGAGAGGCGGGCGATGAAGATAAATTTTGTAATTTCTTTGGTCTTTATATAGAGTCTCCTTTTGGGCCGTAACTATCCTTCTTGTTGGGTCTCTCTAGCGAACCACACGACTACGCGTGCAGGTCTTAATGGGAGTGAAATTTATAGAGTTTGTTGGTTTTTTAAAAAAGTGAATATAATAGAGTTTGTTGGTTTTTAAAAAAAGAAAATGATTAGAATAGATTAAAAAAAAATTTTGTCACAAAAATAAAATTTAACAATTAAAATGACCAAAATAACACTTAAATGTTTTATTAAATATAGATTTATACATATTGGATTAACTAATCTTAGACTTTTTTGTTTAGAGTTGAGGAGTGGAGTTTTGGAATATAGTTTCAAAAATTTAAAAACAAAAAAAAAACTTAAAATTTTCAAAATAAAAAGTGATATTTTGGTCATTTTTAATTTTTAAGGTCTATTTTTTTATATAAAAACCTTAAAAGAATACTATTTGAGATAATTGTCCTTTTAAAAATTAAAAAAATTTGTTAAATTTGGAAAAAAATCGTAGAGAATTTTGTATATTGTGAAAATCTAGGAAAATAAATTATTCAAATAATTTTAAGAATCTAAGGAATAGATGTACTTTATTAAAATCTTGTGAATTAAATGATTAAGAATACAACTTTCAATAACATTAACTTTAACAGATTTATAAAATTATTAAAATGTAATTTTTTTAATTAACAAAAGATTTTGTAGAAAATTATAAAATCATCACTCCGATAACACTATATTCTAATAAAAATTTAAAAGTCTATAAACTAATAACACTAGATTTTCAAATTCTTAGAATCATTATAAATGTGACTCCCACTAACATCTCCTTACCAGATCAAAGGCAGTGACTGCTAAGTGGTTAGATGCAGCAGCTGTGGGGTAATGGTTCGCAATTCCGAAAGGGACCAGAGTCGCTGCGAGGGATGTTATTGTTGCAAACAAGGACACAAGAGCAAAGCGTCTCAAAGACGAACTGAAACACCAAACTATGACCAACGGTTTAAGTTTAGTCTCTTTTTAATTCGTGGAAAAATAGATATTAATAAGCTTAGTCTTTATAAGTTACTAAAAACAACTTGATTGGACAACCAAGTTTGTCATATTTTTTTACAATGTTTTATTATAAAAACTCAGCACACAAGAATATAAAACATAACATTTAAAATCCAGACAAAACATAATAATGATTCCAAGAGCTTGACAAGTAGTTAATAACACGAGAGAGCATTTTGAGAGAGAGAGAAATTTCTTCTAGTCAGTAGCCATGATCGTCTTCTTATTTCCCTGAGCTGGAGGCAACCACACTGAAACAAACAAACAAACAGACGAATGAGTGAATAAGCTTTTACACTTTGTTTTCTCGAAAAGAAAAAAAGAAAAGGTAACGTACCTGGGCGAGGTATGCCAACGTCGATGCTGTCTATTGGAAGGACCATATCAACTGCAATTTTAAAGCCTCTCACAGAAACTCCGCTAAGTTTCAGAGCATTGTCAATATTATCTTGACCACGGAGATACAGGAGAACACACCCGTTGCCAAGAACAAAACAACCCGATGTACCGAACAGCCCACGTACCATCTCCTTGATATCATCCTTGCTAGCAAGGGAAGTATCAAATCCTGAAACTTCCAACCTGAATATAGCAAGAGACCGTATTGTCAACAGGGATACACTTGTCCATTAATAAATAAAAAAGAAAAGAATTAATTTACGTGCGCTGTAGGAACTGGTCTATGCCTTTGGTCTGAGCAAAGACATGGTCAAGGTGATGGTCGGCAAAAGGGTAAGCCGTAATTTGTAAAATACGGCCTCCTCCCATGTCACTTCCATCAAGCTGCAAAGCCTCTGCTTCACATTCTTCATTGACATAGATTAAGCCGTGACTGTAAATAAACATAAAAAGATTATTATTATTATTATTATTATTATTATTATTATTATTATTATTATTATTATTATATAGATAAAGCAGCTGCTGCAGCAGAGCGAAAGATAGAGGAGGAGGAGCAAGAACCCCCACATAACCTGCAGAGAATATCACTGTCGTCTACTTGGGGAACAAAAACATGTATTAACGTTATTCCAAATGATGCGAAGAAGTGTTTTCTCAGAGCCTCCTCGACAACCTCCCTACGAGAAGGAGGATACATGATTCCCTTGCATCCAAATCTGCTATATTAATTAATTAATTAATTAATTAATTACTGTGAGACAAGAACACATATCAGATATAAAAAAATCTCAAAATAAGAGACAAACCTGCTGCTGCTGTCTGCATCAGCAACTTTGACAACCTGAGTAGGAGGTGGAATAGGAGGGGAGGTGTCGTATCCCTTGATCACCATCCTCCTAATAATGCTACTGTATATAGATATTGCAACGGATATTTATTAATTAATTACAATTTTGGATATACAAATCTCAAATAAAAGAGAGACGAACCTGCCGTTTCGAACCCCTGCATCAAAACCCTTCGATTCCAGTACCTAAAAAGTAAATAAGATCTAATCAGCTATCTATGAAGATAACAACTAATTCGAGAAACAGAAAGCGATAGATAAGAACAATTACTTTGATGGCGGATTCGTCCATGGCTTGACTGCTGCGCTAGGTTATGTTTTTCGAGAGGCGGGCGATGTAAGATGATTTTGTAATTTTTTTGGTCTTTATATAGAGAGTCTCATCTCGACCTCGTTTTGGGCCGTAACTATCCTTCTTGTTGGGTCTTCGTTTGGGCTTATGCCTGTACTAGGCCTATTCACTCATATTCCTCTTTCCGTGACCTGGACCCGAAAACCCCGAACCGGAACCGATTAAAAATACCCGACCCAAAACTAAAAACGCGTTTTCCCGGCAAAAAAAAAAAAAAATCTTATTTCCCGTCAAATCTGAAAAACGCATTTTTCCGTCAAAAACGAAAAACGTATTTTCTCGCCCAAAACGTGTTTTCCGTCAACTCTGAAAAAACGTGTTTTTTCACCAAAACCAAAAATGCATTTTCTCGCTAAATCAAATAGTGTGTTTTCCCACCAAAATCGAAAACGTGTTTTTCCGCCCAAAAAAAAATTCGCACCAAATCTAAAAAACACATTTTTCCATCAAAGACACGAAAAACGTGTTTTCCCGCCAAAACCGAAAACGTGTTTTCCGTCGAATCTGAAAAACGTATTTTTTCGCCAAAACCGAAACACGTTTTCCGCCAAAATCAAAAACCGTGTTTTCCTGTCAAAACAAAAAAACTGTGTAAAACATATTATTTTATATTAATATTTTATTAACTTTTATACACATTAATCGTGGATACCTCAAAAACATATTAAAATTAAAATAAAATATTAAATAGTTTTAACAATTTATATCTTTTGTAAAATATATATGCATGAGATTCAAAATATAATCTTTATCTTCATTTATCTAACCTTTAATCAATCCACAATTTAGTTTATTTTATCTATTTGATTCTAAAAATTTATATATTATGTTACAAAAATCTCACTAAAATATATTTATACGCTCGGAATGCTCACTAGAGTTCTCTCGGTTCTCTACTCCGCCCTCCCAGATCAGGTACTTGCTCAAAACTCCAAAGGGCCATTATTTGTCTTTTTGTAGGTTTTGTGAACAAGGACGTTGTGCCTCCAGGTGGGAAGCATTGCATCATTAGAAGACCCTGAGGATGGGAAGAAGAAGAAGAACGGTGAAGCAGAGGTAGTGTTTGTTGGAACCTTTGTCTTATGTAGTGAAACTGTTATGTTCTGTTTATCATAACCAACCCAAGCTCTTAATCATCACTTAAGTTGCAAGAAACTTTTCCTTCAGAGAAGCGGTTTTTGTTACAGAATCTTTCGGGGGCCAAAGAAACAAAAATACAAAGACAAACATCTCACTCTACTTGCTGGACAAACACGTACAGAACAATCACTAATACTTTTACAAATGACACTTTTCACAAATCTTCTCTACAATCTTGTTTACCAAATGGCTCCAACATCATCCCCATCCATCAGTCTCTCCCTCAGATTAGTGTAGCCTCTGCTTCACTCGTCTCCCATTCAGATCACAACCATCAGGATAAAACTCTTTCCGATTCCCAGATGATGCTAAAGAATGCTCACTCAGCCTAGCCACATACTCCAGAAGCTCACTTAGTAAGCATGGACAGCTTTCCTTCAAATAATCAAACCCATCCGTTTCCATCACAGCTAAATAAATAAACAGACAAAGAGAAGTTTCAGATTTCAATGATGATATGATCAGTGACTGAACCAAAAATTAAAAATAAACAGAATGAGGTTTCGGTTTTACCTTTCAGGTTTGCTGGCAAAGCTATGAATTTGAGGCATGCAGCTTTGAGCTGGAAACAATGATGCTGCTCTGCCAAAGCCAAGGTGGTTGCAACCGTATTTATACTGATTCCTTCACAGAGTTTTGACTCGCAGATTGTTTTAAGCCTCTCAAGAGCATAACGGTCTGCAGCCGCAAGCAGATGCTGAGCCACAAGTGTCGATGCCCATTTCAAGTCTGTGCCACCCATTAAATCTTCCATATCAGGCAATTCATCCCAGTAGATAAAATGGAGGAACACCTGCAAACCCAAGCACAACATAACAAAAAGGAAAACAAAAAAAATTGTATCAACATAACAAAACAATGCAGAGATTTCTAGAACTTGAAGATTCTGCAGTAAATTAATGTAACAGCAAACATAGGCAACTTTCTTTTTTTTTTGGTAATTGCAGCAGTGAGTAAGAAACAGACATTCATGCAATCAAAAGAGAAGCAGAAAGGTTAAACCTTATCACGGGTGAGTTATATATTTGAGAACAAGAGCAGCGCCCCAGGAGAATGGTCCCGGGTTGTACACTCGCAAACAGAACATCCTGTATCACATCATAATCACTCACCCGAGATTGTACACTCGCAAACCAAACCAAGAAAGCTATCTCTTCCTATAAAGACCTTATAACTACTGGGACTAAAACTAAAATTCAACTATGACATTCCAAGGAACAGACAGAACTGAACCAGAGAGATATGCAAATAGAAAGTACCTTGAAAATGGGAGCTTCCATGTCATCTATGTCTATGCGTTTGGTATCATGGTTTCTCAACGGTCCAAAAAGTTGCGCTCTAAAAACACGAGACCGAGCTGCAAGAACCACTTTATGAGCAAGAAACGTTTCTCCATCAACACGTAAAGTAACATCAGCTCCTCTCCCACTTTCCAAAAGCTTCCCAAACTGATAACCCAAGTCAGAAACCGGCACAGGGATATTATAACTCCTCGGTCCCTCTGTGTGTGACTTCACCACACCAACACAACACCGAACCAACAGACAATTATCCTTCAGATAATCAGATGACTCAAGCAGCGTCCTCTTGAAAAACCGCTTATAACCCCTAAACCAAGTAAACCACCAATCAACATTTCAAAAAAAAAAACATAAACACATCTATACAAAGGGCACTCACCACATACTTCCTCTGTACTTAAGACTATAAGGACCACTCTCAGGAGTCCTACCGAAATGACTATGAACCTTATGCCTTTCATTACCACTCTGATCAACTAACGTCAACTCAAACAAAGCCCTAACATCAGCTCCTTCGCTAGCGAGCGCAATAAAGAGAGACACGTACAGAGAATTATCCTCAGGACTCTTCCCATCTGGATAAAAGTAAACCGCCCACGAGTATCCACCAACCATGAACGTATCCGACGCCACGTATTTGCCTATCCCCATCCCTTTCGCTAAAGAGTATCCGCTGATCTTGAACTCGTGGGACCCATTAATGGTCTCCGTCCGAGATGTAGACTCCGTGAGAGATGTCGATTTCGGAACCTCCGCGCAAACCCTAATTACGTCCATCCGATAAAAAAATCAAGACTTTTGTTACCAAAATTGGATCTTTTGACGAGTTTCTTCGTCGGAATAAGTATCTTTGCGAGACCCAAGTCTTGGAATTTTCCGAAGAAGACGGAGATTGATAGGTGAGATTCAGGGTCTTGAATTAGAAAGGAATAAAGGAGAGAACTTTGATAGCGATTACGAAGAAACAAATGGTGGGTTTGAGTAATCAGAACTCAATTCGATAATCGGAGCTGAATCGGAGCAGAATCGTGACGGCGACGATGTTGGGTCGGAATCGAGAAGAAGAAGAAAAATGCGGAAGAAGAAGAATCGTGTTTTTTAACTCTAACCTCACCCAATTTGGTAAGATATATAAACGAACTCAAAACAGAAACAAATTAAAATAATTAAACTTTAAAAAAAAAAATTTAATAAAAAAGAGACAAATTGATTGAACAAGTAAAATAAAAACCCTAGATTTCATTACATAGTGGGTAAGAAGAAGAAACATCGAGAAGATAATCTAAACTCTTAAAGTCTTCACCTTTAACCCCTCTCTCAAAAATGTTTCACAGACTCTGTTCATCTCTCTCTCGTTCCTCCCTCATCTTCCCCAAACCCCTAAAGTCTCCTCCTTTCCTTCTTCCTCTTCCTCGTCCTCTCTCTCTCCGTCCCACTCTCTCTTTCTCCTCCTTCAAAATGTCCGACACAAACAACAACAACCCATCATCTCCGACCAAACCCGAAACCCTCCGGTCTCTCGAATCCCACCTCGGCTCCCCTTTCACCACCGAACCAATCATCCCCCCTCCTAACCAACTCATCATCGTAATCTCCGGCCCCAGCGGCGTCGGCAAAGACGCAGTCATCAACAAACTCCGAGAGTCTCGTCAAAATCTCCACTTTGTCGTCACCGCCACGACTCGCCCCATGCGTCCCGGCGAAGTCCACGGTAAAGACTACTTCTTTGTCACCAGAGACAACTTCTTATCAATGGTTCAAAACGAGGAGCTTCTAGAATACGCTTTGGTATACGGAGAGTACAAGGGAATCCCTAAGAAGCAGATTCGGGAGTTTATGTCTAAAGGGGAAGATATTGTGCTTAGAGTTGATATCCAAGGAGCTCAGACTTTGAGGAGGATACTTGGGGACTCTGGTGTGTTTGTGTTTTTGGTTGCGGAGAGTGAGGCGGCGATGGTTGAGAGGTTGGTTGATAGGAAGACGGAGAGTCAAGAGGAGTTGCTTGTTAGAGTTGCGACTGCGAGAGAAGAGGTTAGGCATTTGAAGAGTTTTGATTACGTTGTGGTTAATGCTAAAGGGAGGCTTGATGATGCTGTGAGGCGTGTGGAAGCTATTATTGATGCTGAGAAGTCTAAGGTTCATCAAAGGGTTGTTAGGATTTGATTGGTGTGTGCAGGTACGGTTCTAAATACTAATTGCTTGCTTCTTATTGATTTGATTTAGGATTTTATGGATGTGTTGGTTTGAATATGGTTTAGGATGGTCAATGAAGTATATCATGTTTTGACGGTTTTAGTTGAGTAGAATGGCTAGTTTTGTTATTACTTGGAGACGGTTTTTGTTGTAACTTGTCTGGATATTTCAAAATGGTTTGAGTCTTTAATCATTTGAAGTATCTTGTTAAAGAGATATCATGTAATCTTAGGAACTATGTTATTGGAATTGCGACGAGATACACATGTTACCTCTACTATACTATTAACGTTTTCATGATGGGTTTATTGCAGATCTCCACTGCCTGTGGCGTATTGCTCGCTGTAGTCTGAATGTCTGATGCGGTTTCATCACAGAACAAACAGTTTTTTTTGGTATACGTATGTGCATTTCATTGTAAGGCAAATGAAATTTCATGTGAATCCTCCCTCCTTACGGTTTACAAGGAATCTTTTTGGATTAATCTATCATATCTTTACACTTTACATGGATAGACTTTGTTATCACCATCCTCACAAATTGATTAATCATGTTGCTTAAATGTTCTGGAGCATTGTAGAGCATAATACTATCATTTAGTATTTGGTGTAGCCTTAACTTTCCAAGATGGTCAGTGGCGGCTGAGTTCCAAGAATATGGTGACATGATTATTTGTACCGGATATCTTCAAGGTTCAAGTTTTTTCATAACTAGTATAGTAAGAGCTGTGCTGGAATCTGAACTTACCAAGTCACCGCCCCATAAACCATAATCAAAGTACTTAGCAATGAGTAACTGTTTGGTTTACGAGTAGTTTATGACTTATCTGAACATATTGTATTATATATCCATTTCGTTACAATGATTGGAGGCTACATTGTAAGGCATGTCAAGCAACATTTGTTTGACTCGAGAGATTCGTCAGACTCATCTGAAATGTTAGCTTATTACCAAAAAAACTTAACACGAAATTCATAATACAATTTCTCAGATTACACATCTTCCAGATATTTCCAAAACCATAGAACTTAATCACGATTGGTACCGGAAATTATAAAATATAGCAATGCCCATAAGAGTTTAATATATACATTAAGATTACTATGAAGCGCCCAAATAAGAAGCGTGTGTGTCTGTCTTGCACATTTCTTCACGCGTTAGACTTGTTAAGCTTCCCAAGACACAGAGTTAAGACACGTGTCTTCCATGCAACGACGGTCTTCTTTGGTCGTCTTTAAACTGTGAGCATTTTCAATACAACAGAAGAAGCAAACGTCTCCCACCTCCGCCATGAAATCACGGCGGCTCAACCACTCAGAGGATATTCCTCAAACCATCAGTTTTCGACGCAACAGCTCACCACCACTTGATGCTGACGAGGAAACCTTGTCGAAAAAGATTCCAATGGAACTAATCATAGAGATATTTTCGAGATTGCCACTTAAGTCTATCGCGAGATGTCGTTGCGTATCGAAACGGTGGGCTTCAATACTCCACCGTCAAGACTTCACGGACTTGTTCTTCACCAAATCGCTTGCTCGTCCGCAGCTATTGTTGGTCTTCCAAAGAACACACCGTAAGTTGGTCTTCTTCTCCTCACCTCAGCAGCCTCGTGAGAATAATGCCTCTCTTATAGCCGCCGATCATCATTGGAGATTCCTTGTTCATGACGACTATCATATCTCTAGTATTATCAATGGTCTTTTCTGTATAACCCGTGATTCGGATCATGAGCAAGAGTACCAACAGAGAGCGTGTGTTTGTGATATGTAACCCTAACACTAGACGATCTTTTACTCTACCAAGAATGAAGACCAAAAAGAGGATTATGAATAAATGCTTTTAGGGTATGATCCCATTGAGAAACAACACAAGGTGTTGGCAATGACGGAGCGAGGAGCATCAGGTTCTCACGTTAGGAGGAACTGTGAGGAAGTGGAGATGGAGAATGGTTGAATGTGGCATACCTCATCGTTTTCCGAGTGGAGGATATGTATGCATCAATGGTGTTTTGTATTACACTACTAAGCTTTACAAGTTTGTTGAAGTGGTGGTATGCTTTGATGTGAGATCCGAGAAGTACAGCTTTGTTAAACCCCCGGACAGAGGAATGCGTACTGAAAAGTTGTTAAACTTCCAAGGTAAATTGGCTTCTGTATGGTTCACAAATTTTGATAATGAAACGAGTTTTAGATTGGAGATTTTGATTCTAGAAGACCCTGAAAAACATGAATGGTTCGAACGTGTTTTCATTTTACCTCCTATTTGTAAGGACGGAGCTGTTGTAGGGGAGTACTTATGCTTTGTTGGAGTGACTGCTACAAATGAATTTGTTTTCTACGGGTACGATCCACCCGACCCTTTCCATTTTTACTACTACAATTTCGACAATGGAGCTATATCAAGAGTTGAAATCCAAGGATTTGGAGCGTTTGATGAGGATTCTATCGCTCGCGTACTTCTGAACCATGTGGAGTACGCGAAGATTATGTGCTAGCTACTTCTCTTAAGTTCTTTGTCTTGTTGATCATGTGGTCTTAGTTATCTTACAACTGCTTTTCTGTGTTTGCTATAACTTTTTTCAGTTCTCGGAATGAATATTTTCAGTTGTCTACCATCTGATCTCTTGTATCAGTGGTTATGGAGCAATGATTGTTCTAGATTATGTTTTCCAAACTCCTGCCCCACTGTTATTTGGTGACCCACTAATCTATCACACTTTCCGACTATAGCATTTACTTTTGATATTGGACTTAGCTGCCTTAGGGCATTTCCAACTCCACTCTATTTTTCACTCTAAAATAGAGTTTTAGAGTAAAAGTGCTCCAATGGTATTTTATATGTCACTCTATAATAGAGTGAAAAATAGGTTTACTCCAAATATAAAATAACTTGTTTTTTTTTATGTTCATCACTCTATTTTCTACTATAAAATAAAGTATCATTGGAGTAAACTCCAACTCTATTATAGAGTGACTTTATTTTCGAGTGAAAAAATAGTATAAACCATTGGAGATGGTCTTAAGATGTTGTTCTGAAATTAATTTTACTTCAGATACGGTTCATCACAGGACAATGAAGTTTTGGTATCGGTATGCTCAATTTCATTCCAAGGCAAATGCAATTTTACATGAGTCCTCCTTCCTGTTTACAAGGAATCTTTTTGGATTAATCTATCATAATTTTACACTTTACACGGATAGATAGTGTTATCATCATCCTCACAAATTGATTAGTCATGTTGCTTAAATGTTCTGGAGCATTGTAGAGCATAATACTATCAGTTACTAGTAGTTAATTTAGCCTTGAATTTGGTTTACTATTAGTTAATACACTTTCTAAGGATTAAACATTTTCCAAATATTTCCAAAAAATCCTCAAATTTTGAGGTAAAAAACGCTGCACCGTTTTTGTAAATTGACAAACGTCACACAAACTGATACCATAAACGTGTCGTCGTTTCAATCAAACCAAAACGGCACTAAGTGTAACTTTCACATCTATTTAAACGAAGTCGGATGGGTGAATTATAAATCTTACGAGCTAAGAAACAAACCATGAAATCAGGGCGGCGCAACGTCTCGGAGGATGATCCCGAAACGATCGGGGGCTCACGACTTGATGATGATGGTGACGAGGAATACTTGTCGAAGATCCCAATGGAACTAATCATAGAGATATTTTCGAGGTTGTCACTAAACTCTATCGCGAGATGTCGTTCTGTATCGAAGCAATGGGCTTCGATACTCCACCGTACCGACTTCACGGACCTCTTCTTGACCAGATCATTGGCTCGCCCGAAGCTATCTATCGCCTTCGTAAAACGGGGTGAGTTTCTCTTCTTTTCCTCATCACCTCCTCGTGAGAATGTGTCGTCTCTCATAACGATCGATCATCATGTGAGTTTCCCCATCGAGCGCGTCGAGCATATATCTACTCCTCTCAATGGATTTTTCTGTATTAGCGATACTCGGATGATCTTAAAGGAAGGAAGTAAAACGAGAGAGAGTGTATGGAAGATATGTAACCCTAGCACTAGACAATCCTTTACTCTACCAAAAATGAAGACAGTGAAGATGACTAAGTTGACATGCTTTTTAGGGTATGATCCCATTGAGAAACAACACAAGGTGTTAGCAATGACCAGGGAAAATGATAGAGGTGTGGAGCATCAGGTTCTCACATTAGGATGTGGGAACCTGAGATGGAGAATGGCTGAATGTGCCATACCCCATTCTTTTCCGAGGCGAGAATGTTTATGCATCAATGGTGTTTTGTACTACACTGCTATGGTTTCCTATTTAGTTCATGTGATAATCTGCTTTGATGTGAGATCTGAGAAGTACAGCTTTGTTAATGCCCCCGAGGACGACGAAAGAGGATTGCTTGGTGGAAAGCTAATAAACTTCCTAGGTAAATTGGCTTTAGTAACTCAACCAAGGTACTTTTTTCCTCTTAAGGCAAGTATAAGTTTAGAGATGTGGATTCTAGAAGACGCGGAAAAACATGAATGGTCCAAACGTATTTTCAAGTTACCTCCTATTTGTAAGGACGCGGAAGCAGTTGTAGGGAACAACGTGGAATTTGTTGGAGTGACTGCTGCAAATGAATTTGTTTTCGCACACGACTTACCATCCGACCCTTTCCATGTTTACTACTACGATTTCGTCAAGGAAGCTATAACAAGAGTTGAAATCCAGGGTTTTGGAGTGTTTGAGAATGTGTCTACAGCTCGCGTATGTCTCAACCATGTTGAGGACGTTAAGATTATGGAATTGTTTTAGGACTTTGCTAGCTCTTTCAACTGCTTCTTTTTGTGTGTTTTCTATAACCTTTTCAGTTCTCGGAATGAATATTCTCAGTTGGTTTTCATCTTTTTTAGATACATTCCCATATATGCTCTTGTTTCAGTGGTTATGGAGCATTGATTGTTCTAGACTATGTTTTGTCTACCTGATGTCATGTCACACTATGTTATTTTTGGTGATCAACTAATTACACTTTCCGACTATAGCAGCTACAAAGTTGTGTTACTTTTGATATTGGACTTAGCTATGTACAGCAGCACATCGTAATTGGAATCTATCTGCCTTGTTGTCCTTTGTTAATCTGATGAAAGTGAGATTGGCTGTATAGGCTTGCTTTGAAAATTGTGTTGTTAGTATACTGAAGGAGGCTTGAGCATGTCTTGTATTCTCACTAAGAAGCTGTGGATCGCCCTACATACGCAATTCCTGTTTATTTTTCGAAGTTACTAGTTAAAATTCATAGGATATTTGCTGCTGTTGTGTTAAGTCTATATATGTAATCAAATGAATTTGTTTTCTCCCATTACTCTCCATCCGACCCTTTCCATGTTTACTACTACAATTTCGACAATGGAGCTACATCAAGAGTTGAAATCCAAGGATTTGGAGCGTTTGATGAGGATTCTATCGCTCGCGTACTTCTGAACCATGTGGAGGACGTACGCGAATATTATGTAATTGGTTTAGGACTTTGTAACGGGTGCTAGCTCTCGTTAAGTTCTTGTCTTGTCGATCATGTGGTCTTAGTTATCTTTCAACTGCTTTTGTGTGTTTGCTATAACTTTTTTCAGTTCTCGGTATGACTATTTTCAGTAGTCTAGCATAGTTTTCATCTGTGCTCTTCTATCAGTGGTTATGGAGCAATGATTGTTATAGATTATGTTTTCGAAACAGATGTCTACCAGCCACACTATTATTTGGTGATCCACGGATTTTAGCTACAAATGTTTTACTTTTGATATTGGACTTAGCTGCCTTGTTGTTCTTTGTTAATCTGATCTTGTGGTTTACATTTATGGAAGTGAGATTGGCTGTATAGCTTTGCTTTGAATACTGTGTTGTTTATTCATGATAAGTCCAGAATTGATGGCTCGTATGCTCTTCTTACCAGCCAGGGAAGTCTGAAGCAATTTGAAATTGTTGCCAATATACTTGTTGGTCCCGAAAGATTCTCTCATTACACACTGTTCAAATATACTTCGAGTTATATTAAACATTAAAATGTTGTACATCATGTTACTTAATGTTCTTGAGCATTGTGGAGAATAGTATTATGAATTAGTATTTGGTTTAACCTTGAATTTACAAGATCGCCAGTGGCGGCTGAGTTCCAAAAGTTTTGGAACATGTTAATTTGTACTTTGATATCTTTAAATTTTCAAAAAAAAATTTGTCATAACTTAATATGGTGAGGATGACACAATTTAAAAGTCTTTGAGCTTGACACAGCAAGAGTTGTGCTGGAATCTGGACTTGCCAAGTCACAGCCTATAAACCATAACCAAAATACTTCGCAATTTATTGTTTTGTTGCGATAATTGTAGTTTTAATCTAGACGTCAACTCTTTGAATTTCCAATTATTCATGGCTTAAAGAAAGAACATACAATACTAAGTCTCCATTTTGTTACAATGATTGGGGACTAATGCAACTTTTAAATTTTTAAACTTGCATTAGATTCTGATAACATTTCGATGACAGTTCTGTTAAATATAGGATTCCAAATCCAACTTTTAGATTCATAATCTACAAAAAGTACAGTAGTTTTTGATTGCTTGTTTAGGACAATCGAGTTAAGGATTGGTTTGAATGTGACAGAAGGCAACATTAAATGGCTTAGAGGCGGCTTTGATAAGAGATAAGTCAAGCAACATACTCTTAATTAAGTTAGAAGAATCTCATCTTCTTCTTCATGTAATGATTGGATAAACAAAGCTTAGAAACATTTTTATTCATTAACTTATCAAATGAAGTGACAGGAAATCAAATAACAATGTTAAGTTACACTTTCTTGTACACTTCCTTTTCAATTTTTTTGCCTCATTGCTAACTTCATCTACACTCTTTTGCCTTTTCTTCGTCATAATCTCTATTACACACAAACAACATGTGCAATATATATAGTCCTGCCTTTTCTCATTTGTATCCATTATCAACTAATCACAAAAGAAAAGTTATATATATAACAGTCAAACGGATAGGAATATTCTCGCAAGGTCTAATGGATTCCGAGAAATTTGGAGACGATGATCGGAGCATCCATTTGCAGGTTTATATTTCTTAATATCATTCACACATTTTCTTCTACCGTTTACCATTTTCTAGTAATCCGACTCGATTAGCTGCTAACACATTTTAATAATATTGTTCGTCATATTGATTTAATCTTTGTATAGTCGAGAGACCATAACTTGGTTTCCCTTATGTATTAGCACTTATAAAAATGGTGGAATTTGTAAAAAAAAAATTAGAATTTCACATACGTTGGAAAGCCAATCATAAATAAGTAGAATAAAAAAGCTCAATATAATTCAGAAATGCAGCAAACTACGAATATTTTTTTTTTAAATTTAAAATCATTTTAATTCGTATATAACCAAAAAGTGTGTAATTCTTTCTTTTTGTAACAAAAAGTGTGTAAATCAATCGTTAACATGTGCATGTTTCTGTGTATTCTACGTAGTTTAAAGAAAACTTTTTTTCTTTTTTTTGCAAAAATGTTTTCTATTTAAATCAAGAGTTTACGGAACATACTACAACAGTTTAGTTTAAAGAAAACTTTCACAATTAGCGTAAAAAAAGAGTTTTAAAACCTAAACACTGTAAATAAACAGGTATTGGATCTCCAAAAGCTGGAGGAAGCTCGAGGCTCAAGCGACACCGTATTAGATTTCAGGAACAGCGTCGAGAAAGGAGACAGCGGCGAAACCGCAGACGCTACTCCTTCATCTTCCGCGATCGCGTTCCACCGATCATCATCCCGTGCGCCGGAACAGAAGCTAACACTATTCGCTCTCCGCCTTGCGATCATCGAGAAAATCGCCACTTGCCTCGGAACACTAGGTTTCATCTGGGCCACGGTGGTTCTTCTCGGCGGCTTCGCCATCACACTCGAGAAATCCGATTTCTGGTTCATCACCGTCATCCTCCTTATTGAAGGCACTCGTATCTTCAGCAGAAGCCATGAGCTCGAGTGGCAGCACCATGCCACGTGGACTGTAGCAGGCGTCGGTAGCTTCCGTGCGCTACAAGTACGCTCTGTTTCGCTTCTCAGAAATTTAAAACGAATCAGGTTAGTTGCTTAACCGAACTTGAACCGACTCCAATTTACGGTTAACCAATATTCTACATAAACCTCTATCACCTTTTTTTTTAAACACAAACCTCTATCACCTATTCATATATGCTGATGATAAAACCTGGCATAGAGATACATATACTTTTACATAAAATCTATATATATATATACATTAGTTTTCTCAATGTTTTAAAAATCTTTAGGCGGGAGTTAGACGTTTTATAGAAGATCATTGGTTAGTCGGGTGTCTAGACCGATCCTTTTGAACACCTAGGTCGATTTTTTGAAAAAGTGTTTTGCTCATATCCAATTTTAAGAACACATTTTTAGAAAACTGAATATGAAATATAGTTCAAATCGAAGTTTTTATGTCCACAAATATAATCTCACATATATAAAATAGTTTCAAACTATAAAAGTTTTAAAATATGTTTAAATTAATAAGAATTCTAAACAAATATCTTTAATCATATAAGTAATGTCTGGCAAAATATTCTTATGCGCATCTTAAAACACTCTGTTTAACATTGATTTTGAGTTAAGATTGTTGTTTGCTCTCCAGTGGAGGAGTCTTAAAGCCAATCCTCGAAAGCAGATTGAGTCAAGAAACCCCTCGGACATGGAAAAACTCAGAGGTTCCTCTGCTTCCCTACGCGAAATGGCTCTACATCTCAAGCTACGTGAGCCGTCTTCTCTACTGGCTCCAACTCCTCTCAGCAACCGCCTGCGTGTCTCTCTCTTCATACAAGCTCGTCAGACACAACTACGGAGAAGTTCATGACGGAGAGCTGGACAAAAGGAACAGACAAGCTGCTCTTAGCATCTTCTACTCGCTAGCCCTAGCCGAGGCGTTGTTGTTTCTTGCGGAGAAAGCTTACTGGGAGTGGCAGGTCAGTGTGTGTAGCTTGCTTGAGAATGTGACTAGAGAGTGTGGCTTCGGTGTAACTGGGATAGTCTCCATAAAGAGATTCTTCTATGATGCTTACTCAAAATCTGTGAATGGGAGTATCTTTGATGGTGTGAAGATGGATATGGTCAGCTTTGCTATGGAACTGTTGGGGTCTAGCTGCTCAGATGAACAGCTCATAGGTGCAAGAATTCTCAGACTGTTGGCTGTGAATGAGCGGTCTGCAGAGGATACGCTTGAGAAGATAGGAATCAACTTGCCGGTCATTGAAAGGTTAGACCTGAACCATGTTAAGATTGCATGTATTGTGTTACATACTTAAAATTAGGCATAAACACATTTATCCGGAACTGAAGAACCAAACCGAAAAACACAAAATCGAACAAAAAACTAATGAAATACGAATTTCTATAATATTTATATATATTAACTTTAAATTTAGTTTTAAAATTATCAAACCTTTTACAATAATATTTGTGAATCTAATTAACTGAAAAAAACGAATTACTTGAATACTTTTTATCTGACCTATTTAAAATTATCCAAAATTCCATGAATCTGATATATAACCCAGAAAACTTGAACTATTATGATTTTTTTAACTCAAATTAACCAAAAAAAAATCAGAACCAAACCGGAATTGAATTGGACCCAAAATAATCTCAGATATTTGCTGGTCCTTAACCTTGTTACCCGAACTGACTGAACAGAAATAACTGAATTTTCTAAATACCCAAACGGACCCTATATCTATAGAACCTGAAAAAAAACTAAAACTAAAATAAACTGAACTGATACTGAAATGCCCAGGTCTTACTTTAAAATCATGTTCATATTGTTAAGATTGAGTTTCTTGTCCAGGTTGGTGGAGATGCTGAACTGGAAAGACATGCAAGAAGAAGAGATTAGGAGATCAGCAGCTGAGATACTATCAAAGCTCGCTGGAAAGAAACAGAACTCTCTAAGAGTTGCTGGAATCTCCGGTGCCATGGAATCGATATCATCACTGTTACAGAAGACAAGATCTTTAGGTGATGCTCCCGACGAGATTGGAGAGAAGAAAATCTTCCACGACCATAATCTACAATATGATTACTGGAGGTTCAACAACTTAGGCCTCTTGATTCTAAAGAAGTTATCAAGAGATCACGACAACTGTGGAAAAATCGGTAACACGAGAGAACTTCTTCCAAAGATTATTGACTTCATGCATACAGATGCAACACTCTTGAAAGATGAGAACGCAGAGATGGTTCTGTCACGAGTCTTGACCGTGAAACGGTCCCTGCAATTAGTTAAAATGTTGGTAAGCATGAGTGGGAACACTGGGAGATGTCTTAGGAGAGAGATCTCGGAGATTGTTTTCACAGTCAGTAACTTGAGAGATGTGCTGCGTCATGGAGTGAGATACCCTAAACTACAGAAGCTGGGGATTGAGATCCTGGGTTTCCTAGCCCTTGAGACAGAGGCACGTGAAAGAATTGGTGTGACTGGAGGTGTCTTGAAAGAGCTGTTCAACATTTTCTTGCAAAGCAAGACACATGGGGATGTGAATGAGAGCCGGGTCAGAATCGCTGCAGGGGAAGCTATAGCTATGCTTGCTTTGGAGAGCAGAAGCAACTGTGTCCACATTCTAAAGCTTGGAGTCTTGGCAAGACTCGTGGAAGCACTTGAAGTTCCTTTGGTACGTGTCAATGCAGCGAGAGTGTTGAGGAACTTGTGCTTATACTCAGGACATGAACGTTTTATAGACCTGAGGCTCATTAAAGCAGCAGCTCCCATGGTGAGTACGCAAACAAAGTGGATATAATATATTAGAAAAAATTGGTTACCAATTTTTTAAAGTTTTTATCAGGAAATAACATTCAAAGAGAAGATTTTTCAAAATAACATTTATTATCAATAAACACACTAAATTACCTTATTTTCTAAAATCTACACCTTAATATATCACTCTCTCAATACTAAATCATAAACTTTAATCACTAAACTGTAAATTTAAATATATTTATTTATTAATTTTTAATAAATTCTATCTTGGGATTTTCTTTTTATTGTATGCTAAGTTTTGAAGAAGATTTTGATTGGGTGCTATTAAAGTGCATTTTCAATATATTATGTCAAGCTAAAATCTCACAAAAAGGTTTTGTTTTCTTGCAGGTGTTGAAATCAATAACACAAGGAGATAACAAACTACAAGAAGTGATGCTAGGGTTAGCAACACAAGTGTTCAAGTTCATGAGTTCAGAAGAAGCACATGTAGCTCTGATTGATTCAGGGATCAAGAAACAAGAACTAGCGAATTCGCTTGTTGCGACTCTGAGAAAGCATGACAAGCCAGCGATCAAAGTTCCGCGAATCAGGAGGTTTGTAATTGAGCTGGTGATATGTATGATGGAATATGATGTGGAGAACATCGTGATGTTTAGAGATTTGGGTATGGAGAGAGAGCTCGAGAAGGTACTGGAAAACACGGCTGAGCTGGAGAACTTCGATGTTTTCTCGGGCACAGTTGGTGTGAGCCGACATAGCAGAACGGTTCATTGGTTGGCTGAGTCGGTTTTAACATTGCTTAAGGAATATCAACCATAATTATCATATTTTCCTCATAACAAAATCTCTGGATCAAATACTGTAACTATTACAGATTTGTAAGAAAAAAAAAATCCAAAAATTATGAAATTTATTTGTTTTCTTTTTCATGAGGATTCTTTGGAATACTTGTGTAATATTATTATATTTATTACTTTTTGATTTTATAAATTAATAAAATGATATAATTTGCTTATTATATTTTAGAACTTCACTGTGAATCCATGCTCTTAATTACAAACAATAGTTTTGTTTTTTTATGCCAAAAAACATTTGTCCAGTTATGACAAAAAAATTGTCCACAGATAATACTAAAGCTTTAAAATTATTAGGATAATACAACATCTATATAGATATATTTATTGTTAAATGGGAATAAAACTTGTGAACAAAAAAATGGAAATAAAACTCAACAAAATTCCTTCTTTTTTAACTTAACATATTTTTCATATTTATTTTAGATTTCGAGAATTCTAATAATTAGAGAAGATATTGTAAATTATAATAAACTGAATTGTAAATCAAACCTGAATCTAGTAAACTATACTAAAAAATCGGATCTATGTCATGTAATTGTATTCTGAAAATCTAAACTAAAATACAAAAATCACAACAAAAAAAGGAAACATATGTTGTTTATATAGTAGTCAAGAGCCACTCTTAAGGTACAAAGTCGACACTCTCTTAAAAGCCCTAGCCACTTGAGGATCATCAATCCTTCAACAACAAGAACACGATATGGCTTTGGTTAGAAACAATCAATTCATGAATCTCAAACTCTCTCTTCCACAAGCTCCTTCCACTCCCCTCCCCTGCCTCATCCCCATCGCAACAGCCTCCACAACAGTTACTTCCTCCACACTCAACACCGTCTCTGCTTCTGATTTGGAGAGAATCAACGTTCTCGGCTACGGAAGCAGTGGAACCGTCTACAAAGTTATCCACAAGACAACCTCAGAGACCTACGCGTTGAAGAAAATCAAAGAAGACATGGATTCTACTTCTCGCCACCAACTCCTACGTGAGATAGAGATCCTCCGCCTTGTCGACTCTCCTTACGTCGTAAAGTGCCACGACATATACGAGAAACCCTCCGGAGAAGTATCTATCCTGATGGAATACATGGACCTAGGTACGTTAGAGTCTCTACGTGGCAACATCGTCAAAGAGGATCAGCTATCTTTGATCGCACGTCAAGTTTTGAAAGGGTTAAGTTACTTGCATGGGCTCAAGATCGTTCATAGAGACATCAAGCCAGCGAATCTTCTACGTAACTCGAAAGGAGAGGTCAAGATCGCAGACTTTGGAGTGAGCAAGATCATGGTCAAGTCGTTAGACAAAAGCAACACGTTCACAGGCACGTGCGCCTACATGAGCCCCGAGAGGTTTGATAGTGAAACTGCTGATGTTTCGGAGGAAGACAAAGCAAACGTTTACGCTGGAGATATATGGAGTTTTGGTCTTACGATGCTTGAGATGTTGGTGGGTCACTTCCCTCTGGTTCCTCGTGGAGAGAAACATGATTGGGCCACGCTGATGTGCGCTGTGTGCTTTGGAGAATCACCTAAAGCTCCCGAGGAATGCTCTGACGAGTTGAAGAGTTTTGTTGATTGTTGTTTACGTAAGAAACCTAGCGAGAGATGGACGGCTTCACAGCTTCTCAGCCACCCTTTTCTTCTCCAGCAAGATTAGGGTTAGGGATATATCTATGAAGATCTTGTGTTTTAATTATGAGAATTCACTAGATTTTTAGTGAATCTGAAAGAACACTATGTTTTGGTGTTACTCTTGTAAATAATATGTATATTATTAGGGTGTCCACATTGGATTCTCGTTAAGTCTTTGTATCTTGTATGTTTCCTCAATCTTTGTTCAATAGGCCTGCCTTTTTCTGTATGATATCCGATGTTACTATGTTTTGAATCTGCAATCTTACTACTATGTTAATTTCACTATTATGTTAGTAAATTCTCACGACTATGTTAATTTCACTATTATATATGTTAGTAAATTCTCTTGCAACAATCCACATACTGAATGTTTTTGGAATATATGTGAAATTTCCCTTGAATGCCAGCACATTGTCAAGGTTATGAATGTTTTTTTCTCTTGGGGCTGACTTCTTAGCTCAAGACGCCATACAAGTCCATATATTCTTTACACATTGTGTTATATACCATCCTAGAGATTTCTGGAGTTATTAAAACTTCATAATAATAATAATATAGTAATATACACTTCATTAAGCTTAAGTGGTATTGAATGATCTATGAAATATTCGTATCACATTGTTAGGTAATACTAGATCACCAACTGTTTTCTTTTAACCTTTCCGATAGTTATAACCTCTTCTTCATTCTTTTTAGCTAAAGTAACTTAATTGGATTTGTCATTAGAAAATTACTGTTTTATTTTATTTCCCTTTCCGATAGTTATAACCTCTTATTTATTTTATGATCCAATTTCTAAACAAAAAAAATCTACTAATTATTCCCAAATAATTTTGTATAGCATTTTATTATTAGTTACCTCCTGCAGATAAATTGGATCGGCGGTGCGCAGCCAATGACAATACAAAACATAACCATGTGACGCCAATCACCACCATACATCACGATATAAATACTTCTTCAAAATGACAAAAACACCCCTGACACCACACCGACGCGACTTATGAAAACGCTTGGTTGTCCACATGTCGCTGCCTCGCTGGTCCATTAATCTAGCGCGTTCACCGGCCTATGGTCATGGTAAATCCACTCGAACAACAAGGATATATTCGTCCAGACAAAAAGATTGTCTTTTTCTCCACCTCCATTAAAACGCTTTTTTGGCTGCACTTGTCATGTCCTAAATTTTCCTGGAGATCAAATTTTTAGCTGTCCAATATTCAATTTTCCTCATTTAATTTATACTATATGATATCTGATATTTTTAGATAGAGAATTTAACAAAAGTTCTCTTCTTCTCTCTTCCTGAATCCTGAAACTGGGGAGATTAACAGTTCTTAGTGAATCTAGGAACTAAAACTACAAAAACCTAAGACAGATTTGTTCTTTTGTGGATTGCGTGAATCATTCCTTATCATCATCTTCGAAAGAGAAAGTATCCACTTGCCATCATTGAAGCATTTAGAGTAAGTTTTAATGTTTTAGTTTAATCTTATTATAAAGTAAGTGTTTTTGACTTTTAATGTTTTCTAGAGAATCTAAAAGCGTAAGCTTTAACTCACATTGGAACTAACCTTGTCGTTAAACTGATTTCGAGTTTGGTCTGTTTTTTTTTTTTTCTTTTCTCAGATTTGAATTGTTGTTTTTTTTTTGTTTTTGGTCGGATCTTCTCAGATGCCGGAGAAAGGAACGACTCTATCTCCAGTTCAAAGCCAGTTACTGATTCTACGACCAAGTCCTCTTCTCCGATGGCGTCTCGGTGCTCTCACAACACTCGTCTTCTTCCTCATGTTAGTCGTCTGGAGCATCGACGGTTGCTCGATCCAAACCTTCGTGCAGCCATGGAGACTCAATGCATACTCCCTTAGACTCACTCCTTCTCCCTCTCCTTCTCCTTCTCCGTCACTAAAACCACATCCTCTAGCTTCCGACAAACCCCACCGACAGAACCTCACGGTTCCAAACGTGAAGAAGACGAATCTCATTACAAACACGACACGTGTCCAACTCCCTTGGATAACCGCTCACTCGGAGAAGAATTTCACGGCGAATCTAATGAGAAACTGGTTAGCTCCGGGAGGATCACCGTGCCGGGAGGCGAAAACCGTCGAGATCTCTCTCCCCGGCGTCGACGGGGTTGATGATTCGTTAACTCTAACCGCCGGAGAGATCCACGTGTTCACATTCCAAGCACTAGACGAATCCAAAACACCAGTCTGCATCGGTGGAGACTACTTCGAGACAGACTTATCCGGGGAGAATTGGAAATCAAGACCGCCGGTGAAAGACTTCGGCAACGGAACCTACTCAATGACCTTACAGGTACATCCCGAGTTCGCCGGAGAGTTCAACCTCACGGTGATCTTACTCTTCCGTCATTACCAAGGACTTAAGTTCAGCACGGCGCGTCTAGGCTTCGACAAGAAGCTTCGCAACATCCGGTTAAACTTCATCAAGAAGAGTGACGTTTCTCTCCCGGAGCTACGGTCATGTAAGAGATCGGATTTTGATCGGGATGCATGGTCAGGTAGATGGATAAGGCTAGGGAAGAACGATGATTGTGAGATTAGTAACGATGGGCGTTACCGTTGTCTCCCTGCGGATTTCCCTTGTCGGAAACCGTGGTGTGATGGAGCGGTTGGAGGTATAGAGAGCAATGGGTGGGTTTACTCCACCCATTGCTCTTTCAAGCTGTTCTCTGGCGAGGCGGCTTGGGGTTGTTTGAAGAATAAGTGGCTTTTCTTCTGGGGTGATTCGAATCATGTCGATTCGATTAGGAACATGTTGAACTTTGTTTTGGGTCATCCGGAGATCCCCGCTGTACCGAGGAGGTTTGATATGAGGTTCTCTAATCCGAAGAATGAATCGGAGACGGTGAGGATCACGAGTATCTTCAACGGTCATTGGAACGAGACGCAGAACTATCAAGGCCTTGACTCGCTTCAGGACCGAGACTTTAGAGAGTTGCTTAAAAAGTACTTCACTGAAGACAAGGTTCCGGATGTTATGTTCGTGAACTCTGGTCTACACGATGGGATTCACTGGCATAGTCTTAGAGCGTTTGAGAAAGGAGCTGAGACAGCAGCTGCGTTTTGGAGGGAAGTGTTCGACGGGGTTAGAAGCAGGGGGTTGAAGCCGCCTGAAGTGATTTTCAGGAATACGATCGCGACAGGTGGTTACGCTAGAGTGTTAGCGTTTAATCCGAGCAAAATGGAGGCGTTTAACGGTGTGTTTCTTGAGAAGATGAGGGATGCAGGGTTGGTTACAAGCGTGGTGGATAACTTTGATATGACGTATCCGTGGCATTATGATAATAGGTGTAACGATGGAGTTCATTACGGGAGAACTCCGGCGAAAATGCGGTGGAGAGATGGTGAGATTGGTCATCAGTACTTTGTGGATTTGATGCTTGTTCACGTGTTGCTGAATGCATTGTGTGTGAGATAGTAGTGATGTTAGGAGTCACGGATTCTTTATTTATGTGTAAACTTTTTCGTATTATTCTTTTGGAGTATAGATCAAATATTATTTGGAATAACTCAACCTGGAGATTGAGTTTCTATTGTATAATGTATGAATAGCGAGAGAGATTGGAACAACGGATGTTTGGTAAATCATTTTTTCTGGTAATAAAAATTTCGACTTTTTTTTTTCTGAGTGGAGCAAGTCTTAAACATTTCAACTTTAAACTGACTTTTGAAGTTGAAAGTAGCTTGTCCCTGATTCATTACATGGATTGGACTTGGAAGTAAGGAACTTCTAAAAATCGACTAATTGAGGTTTACTTTTGGTTTCGTATGTGATGGTAGTCTATCTACATTGTCTCTATCCATTAAGTGCTTTGCTAGCTATGGTTGTTAGTCACCATCCTCCTATTCCTCTTATCTATAAAACTAATCAATACTTGGATTACTCTTGGTCGTATATGATAGTAATCTATCTAACAGTGTCTATTAATTAGCTGCTTTCTTTAGATTACCAAAAGAAAAAATCAAAGAGCTTAGTATGGTCATTGGTCGCAGTCAATGCTTGCATTGGTGAATGTTTGGAACACATGCACCTTCTTAGTATTGATCATCAGGGAAACGATAGTGTCATCATTAATGTTAACTTCATTGTTTATGAAAAGTCTAAACAGCAATAGTGTAATAATTGTTCGGGTTATTCGTTTGTATAAAATATAGAAAAGTGAGTTGAAACTAAATAAAATCATTCTTTTCTTGCATATAATAATATTCTCCAGGGTTAAAGGCAATACTCTACAATAAAAAGGGAAAAGGGAAAGAATGAGCCGAAAAATCAGGGACTGGTCAAACAAAATAATGTGAATGAATCATTTCAATTAGGGTCAGGTCAGATGAACAATCTTATTTCATTGTAAAGCCTATTCTTAGAATAAAAAGGAGGTAATTAGAAACCAAAAGGGAGATTAACGTTTTCTTGCTTCATTATGGTGTGTATAGAAAAAGATATATATTGTTGTCTTTTGCATAAGGAGGAAGCGAGGTATATATCAACTTGTTAACGAGAAACAACGAAGTATTTGTCGCCGTTCTTTGATTATTGGCTGGCCACCCACACACATTTTCCTTCACCACATGAATACAATCGGTTTTGCGATAAGTATTCTTAGATTTTATGGCTTAATATGTGAACCATCTTTTTTTTATAAACGTCGCTGAAACTTAAATATTCAAATTTTATTTGATGTTTTTGTTATTTGAAAATTTTCGAGTCGATATTATACTCTTTTTTTAACACTTCATTCAATCCAAAATATTCTTACAATTCTGAGCCAAGCATGCCAGCGACAAAAACTCAAAAAATACCAGTAGGCATCTTTATAATAACCCCATACAATATGTATAAATTGTAACTCTAAGACTGTAATAGTCGATATTATACTAATTTGGGATATAAGACGTGAGGATTAGATTTGGTCTAAACTCCAAAACAAGAATATGGACATTCCACTATATATCCAGTTTAATATGGTTGAGGATATTTTGACTCTTTCCTTTTAGAAAATTTATAACCAAACTGAAATGTACCGACTTTTTGTTCATTTTGATTGCCTTTTTTCTTGATTCGGTTCAATTTGGATTTTCTGAAAATTAACTCAAAACTGTAAATTTTATCATAATATTTCAAGAATTTTGACCAATTTCAGTTTTTGGTTTGATAAAATTTCGATTTGTTTAACTTAAAACTCAATTATTAACGATCAATAGTAAATGAAATGTTATTTTTTTCTAATAATTCAAATATTAACACAATGATGATATTCCTCTTGTACTTTACTATTTGCCACACACATATATATCACACCACAAAATCCAACATCCCATAAAAGAAAGAAGAGAGGAAAGAAAAATTGTTACGATGAAAACAACAAAAGTGAAGTTCACAAAAGAGATGTTAGAGTCTATCAAAGACAAGCTCCCAAGGCTAAGCTTTCTCCTCCTCTTCCTCCGACAATGCTACGGCGGTTGTGGAGACCGGACCCACTTACTCCCTTGCTCCATCACCACTTCCTCCACCCGCTTCTGGAACCTCTCTGACCGTCCCGTTGAGCTTCAGATTCGAGTCGGGTCGATTCTAAAACGCGTCCACACTCTCAAACCGGGACGTTCCAAAAAGCTCAGGCACAGTAACCTCCACAGAGCCTATGTGCCTGACCAGGAAGGACGTCGATGGTTGTACTACGACGACACGTGTTTACCGTACGTGTGGGTTCATGAGAGCGGTACGGACTTGTCCAAGATGGTGAAGCAACAGTACGTTAGTCTTGATGATCTGAGAGATTGCTCGGAGATTAGGGTTTTTAAGGATTTACAGAGAGGTTGTGTCTCTGTTGAGAAGAGAGACAGAGCTTCTGCTTTGTGTTAGAATGTGAAACTTATCATTATTGATTACTTCATCCAAATTATTATGAGTACTATATATAAGTAACACATGTATTTGAGTATTTCATTGTGAAACATGATGCATGTATCCATATCTATATGTAACTCCATCTCCAGTATTGACTCTTGTTGATCTTGGACTTATTAGATTACACAATGTCATCATAAATTGATTTCTTACTAAAAGGGGTAACTAGATCTACTTCGCTGGAATTTGTGGTAGTAATATAGTGAAGGGAAAACATTAACAAACATATGTCATCAAGTTAACCCAACTTGGTTATTAGTTATAGTATGAGTGTTACTGATATATTCACACGAATAGTCTATGAATAGTTTTTGAAGTTTGAACTATGTTAAAACAATATCACACAAATGATCTATGAATGGTTCATAATCCAAATTTCAAGAAGTTTATTTTAAGTTAATAGTGATGAAATAGTGAAGACTATTCATCTAGGTGTATTTGGTCTTCTTTCTTGTTGAAGCAACAAAATATTAACAGAGATCTTATCTTTACACATTTCTCGATGATATCAATAATGAATTGTGTTTTTTCTTCTCGTTGGAGAAAGGCAACAAAATTGAGTGATGAAGTGCTTTGATGGCAGGCAAAATAATGACCTTCCTCAGATCCTCTCCACTTTGGTAGAGCACTAATAAATTAATTTTAATCGTGCCATGTTATGTATTTATCCGATGTCAAATGTTTGATGCACTAAACTTTCGGTTCAAACTCAACAAGTAATCATTGGAACTTGGATGCATGATGACTGATGAGCTTGCATATTTTTAAAGTTCTAAAAATCGATATTCCGCATGAGACGTAAGTTAAATTTGGAAAACCATATCTATGTATAGTCTCTACACATATCCTCTATAGTTGTAGAGTTGACTATTGGGTAGCATCAACACGGTAGTAAGTGAAAGATTAGGTGAAAGTTTTGGCTACCAAAACACATTGCTGGTAGTGGTAGGAACAGAAAACTAAATTCATAATTAATAATTGTATGAATACTGCACATTAAGTTACTAAAATTAACAAAAAAATACAATAAAGTTATGATATGAATGTTATACCTTTCATAAACCTAAACCAATAAATAAACCGAAGCTGAAAACCAAACCGAACAAAACACATGTTTTATCCCTCGGTTTAAAAAAGAAAAAAAGTAAAAGAAAAAAGAAAAAAAAAAAGTCAAAAGCATCACCGAATCCTCACTCAACACTTCAAGTCTTCAACTACACATCTGTCTGTCTTCCAAAATCTTCTTCTTCAGTCCCCTCTCTCCTTTTCTTTCTTGTGACTCTTATCACCGATGGGAATCTCCTTCAGCACCAACAGAAGACGACAGAACAACCGCCGTCAACTCCTCCACCACCACCACCATCCTCCACCGCCTTACTATTACCTCGATCCTCCTCCGCAGCCATTTCCACCGCATTATGACTACAACTACTCCACTTACCCGCATTTACCACCACCGCCACAGATCAACTCTTGTTCCTACGGCCATCCTTACCATTACTACCCTCAGCATCCTCACTACTTCACCACGGCACAACCCAATTGGTGGAGTCCAACGATGAGACCTGGATATGTCTGTCCTACGCAAACGCAAATGCAGCCTCCTCCACCTCCATACGTGGAGAATCAGAACGCCAAGAAAGTGAGAAACGATGTCAATGTGCATAGAGATATGGTGAGGCTCGAAGTAGACGATTTAGTCCCTGGACACCATCTAGTTTCCTTCGTCTTCGATGCCATTTTCCACGGCAGGTATATATATATATTCACCGATCTGGCTTTATTAGAGGTTGATCCATGACAATTAGAATAAAGTGTGATTGAATCTTTAGAGGTTAGAGCCATAATTAGGACGAAATTAGCAAGTTTAAGCTCATGAAACTATTAAAAGGAAAGATACTATAATGTGAACCATCTTGAATAATTCTTTCTGATAGAAATGGTTCAAACTTTGCATGGTTTCTTTAATGGGTACGTGTATATTGACCCAAAGCCTTAAACTCAACTTAAGATCAGAAACGTAGTTATATGATTTGTATTGATCAATGTTCAAAAAATCGCTAGGCGCTTTATATGTGATTATTTGATTAGGCGGTTGCTCTAGACCGAATTTTTAAAAATCATTTTTTTAAAAAATGTCTCTGTTAGGTCTGTTTCTTAGAACACTGGTTTTAGATTATATAGAGAATTCTAATTGTAATCTGATTTCATTTTCAGTTTCACTATCACCTTCTTTGCAAAGGAGGAACCAAACTGCACGTTTATCCCACAGTTTCCAGAGGTTTATCCACCGACAAGATTCTCTTTTCAGAAAGGTCCTGGACAGAGGTTTCTACAGCCTTCAGGGACAGGAACCGATCTGAGCTTCTTCGCTCTTGACGATTTGTCAAAGCCCTTAGAAGAAGATGTGTACCCTCTTGTTATATCAGCTGAGACGTTAATCTCTCCAAATCCCATGTCCGAGCAGTCATCAGTTCATAAGCAAGTCACACAAGCGGTTCTTGAGAAAGATAATGATGGATCTTTTAAAGTGAAAGTTGTGAAACAGATTCTTTGGATCGAAGGAGTTAGATATGAACTACGTGAGTTGTATGGATCGACCACTCAAGGGGCTTCCTCGGGGTTAGAGGACAGTGGTTCGGGTAAAGAATGTGTTATCTGCATGACTGAGGCTAAGGACACAGCTGTTCTGCCTTGTAGACATTTGGTAAAGTTTAGAATTACTTTTGAGTTTGCTTTGTTGTAACGTCTAATAGTGTCTTTATGTCTTTTTTTTGCAGTGCATGTGTAGTGATTGTGCGAAAGAATTGAGGCTTCAGTCTAACAAATGTCCTATTTGTAGACACCCTATTGAGGAGCTCTTAGAGATCAATGTGAATGAACAGCACTTGACTTGAAGAAGAAGGTTCTTCCTTTCTTTTTTTGGGAAACCCTCCATGTCAGAATATGTATTTTGGATCATTGTTGTGGAACTTCATAACGCATATAGATTTGTTTGTTCTAAAGCTTTGTATGTGAAAGATATAAGTAGTGGTATATGTATTGTGTTATAACGGCTTTCATGTATTATCTTTGTCCTCTTGGATATTTCCACACACTCTCAACATTCCACTCTATGTATGTAACTGAATGGTTTTGTTGTTTGCTTTAAGCATAAGGAACCGATCATAATCATTATCATTTGTAGAGTTACTTAGCTATAACTATATACTTTCATAAGTTTGTTATCCTATAACCCTTTTTTATCAACTCCTATAACCCTTTTCTTGAGGAAATCAAAGATTGATAGAGTACATAAAAACTTTGGTCTTTGTAGAAACTCAAGAGAAGAGAGATTAAAACATAGTTGTAGTTGAAGAGGAAGGACATTTTCTGCTTTTAGCCTATTAAGCTATAAGTTAAAGAAATCCATTGAAGAAAAGCTGCCGGAGGAAAAAGAATGTTTCCCACTGAGTTTATGCTTAAAAGTAAACAAAAAGGTCCCTTTAAATATAAAATTTTTATAGTTCCATTCTTTTGAGAGAATGTTCAAACTTTTGAAATGAAAAAAAGTCTTCATTTTGATTTGTTATTTGTTGTTCTCAAGTTTAACAGTCAATTAGTTTTGAACTGAGTAATCATAAATGTTTTACAGGTCTATTTAATTTCATATATAATCCAAGCGAACGACTGATATACAAATTGTTTTTTTTTGTTTTTTTTACAAATTGTTTAATAATTCTTGTTTAATTTCCATATTAATTGACTAAAATGAATTTTAATCAATGGTGACGTCGATGAGAAATATTACCTTTTAGAGTCCCAAACGTACAATAATTCACTTTCCCAATATATGAGACTGAAAACGAATCCAAAGGAAAAGATTTGTAGCACGAGAACAGAATCGGACAAAAGCTTCAAGAGAATATAATGTCATTTTGCGAATAAGAAGAAGAAGAGCCATGTCATGTGCAGAGAGACTCATGTGATCAACAGCTATTTAGATTAGGCAAAACTTCAAACGACAAAAGCCAATTATTAATCTCACCCATGCCAGTTTTTTTAACACAATGTTTTTGGAACTTTCCGAATGTGCATATTATGCTTCTTATAGTTTTAATTTTTCCCATCAATAATTGAAGAACCATCATATATAAAACAAGGGTTAGAGATCTTAATCTTAAAACGTGACAGTAAATAAATTAAATAAATGCAAGCATATTTCACCGAGAAAACCATTCCATTCTTTTTCTCTAGGGGAAATTTTTTATATCTATTAGACGATCAAATTTATTTTAGGTCACTTTAAATGCTCATCTATATGGAAAATGTGAATTCTTAAAGATGGTATTATTTAAAGCCAAAAGGAAAGAAAAGATAGGCAAGAGAGTTGTGTTTCATGTTATGTTTAGGCTTTAACATCAACAAGGAGCAATGATAGTAGTAAATGCGTCGAAGAAAAGTATCTGAAAATAAAATTTTATATCATAGCTAGAAAAATGAATATTTTATTAAAAGTAATTGAGATGTACAGTAAAAAAATAGTAAAAAATAAGAGAAACCTATTGAGATCTGGCAGAAAACGTGATTATGTCTATTATAAAATATGAAATACGAGGCCTTCATCATAACCCAGACCCACTCTCTGTTCTGTAGTATTATTATTTTCAATGTAGACTTCTATCCACCGATTAATTTTATCTAATATTTTCTTTCTTTTTGAGAAAATTAATTTTATCTAATGTTGTTTTTCGTTACAACTATCACATTTTCTAATACATTCAGCATACACTCATTACCAAAATAATTGCAGTTTCATGTTGTTGTTTGGTATAATTTAACTAATTTTCTACTTTGTCATTCGGGTTTTAGGTTTTCCAACCTGTTTTGTAGCCAATTTATGATTTAAAAATTGCAAAAAATTAAAACATATCACATGATTAATTTGCTTAAAATTTGAGCTTATAAATTCTCAAGAAAAGCTTTAGGAAACATTATTGTTTGCTCATCTCATTATTTTATCATCCATCTCAACTTAGTAATGATTAAGGAGTTACATATAAAGTTAATTTGACAAAACAAGGACTGGTTTTTCTCTTTTAATAGGAAAATTTTCCGTGAAATATTTTGATTTGTCTAAGCTTAGGCTAACAAAATACATAAGATAATACATTATTGTTCACTCTTTTCTTCTATTAAATTGAAGCAGGGACTCTGCTCCACTCTCTCTCTCTCTGACTCTGAAAAAGATGAAGTGGAGAAGTTAATGTTCACCAACTTGCTGTAAAGTCAGAAACTTTCTTCCTTCTTTCAAGTTCGTCTCCCATTCTCCATCTTCTCTGTTCATTTCTCTCTGCCTTTCTTTTTCTTTTATTGTTTTAAAGAAAGAAAGGTATCTTTCTCACATATTACATATATATGTATATTTACTTATGTGTTCTCTTGTTGTGTCCTTGAAAATGTGTTAAAGTAACATTTTCTTGGTTTTTATGTTGTCTAAATTTTAGTTGGAAGTACAAGGAGTAGTCTTCTCAGATCTGGTAATAAAGAGAGAGAAAGAGATTTGAGTTTTCATCAATTACTGTTTGAGAAAAAATGAGTAAAGAAGAGTTTATGAAGATCCAGGTTCGTTAACCGATTCTGAGAATCATTATGAATATTTTTTTCAACTAAAAAAAACAAACTCTTGACTAATTGAATCTGTGAATTTTTATTTTGTAGACTTGTGTTCTTAAAGTGAACATACACTGTGATGGATGTAAGCAGAAAGTCAAGAAAATCTTGCAGAAAATCGAAGGTAAACAGAGAAAAAAAATTATCAAACTCAATAATATCTTTTGACTTTCTTAAGATTTTTTGTCAAGATTGTTGACTAAAAGTCTTGAAACTCATTTTGTGTTTTGTCTGAAACAAAAAAAATAAAACTCAGGTGTTTTCACGACCAAGATTGATTCAGACCAAGGGAAAGTGACTGTCTCTGGGAGCGTGGATCCTTCAGTTCTCATCAAGAAGCTCGCGAAATCTGGTAAACATGCTGAAATATGGGGAGCTCCAAAGGGTAACAACAACAACAATCAGAATCAGTTGGCCAATCAGATGAAAGGGATGCAGATAGACAATGGAAAAGGTGTCGGTGGAAAGAACAATAACAACAATAAAGGTCCAAAGAATGGCGGTGGCGGTGGAGGAGGTGGCGGAGGTAACAGTAATGCTGCGCCAAAGATGGGTCAGCAACTGAATCCACAACAGATTCAGCAGCTTCAACAGATTCAGAAGATGAAAGGGTTTCAAGATCTGAAGCTTCCTCCACAGTTAAAGGATACAAAGGGCTCTGCTGCTCCTGCGAACAAGAACCAGAAAGGAGTAAAGTTCGAGGATGAAGATGATGATGAGTTCACTGATGATGACGAATTTGATGATGAGTTTACTGATGAAGACGACGAGTTTGATGATGATGAGTTTGGTGACCTCCCTCCTCCTAATAAGATGAAGCCTAACATGATGATGCCTAACGCTCAGCAAATGATGATGAACGCTCAAAAAAACGCTAATCTTGGCGGTAAAGGAGCTCCTGGCGGTGGAAACGCCGGCGGCGGCGGTGGTAAAGGTGGTCCCGGCGGAGGTGGCGGTGGAAAAGGTGGTCCTGGTGGTGGTGGGAACCAAAACCAGGGTGGAGGCAAGAACGGCGGTAAAAACGGTGGTGGTGGCGGTGGACATCCACAAGATGGTAAAAACGGCGGTGGTCCAAACGCCGGAAAGAAGGGTAACGGCGGAGGAGGTGGTGGTGGTGGTGGTGGACCCATGGCTGGAGGAATGCCAGCCGGGTTCCGTCCCATGGGAGGCGGAGGACCACAAAACATGAGCATGCCAATGGGCGGTCCAATGGGTATAGGTGGTCCGATGGGTAATATTCCGGCGGTTCAAGGCTTACCGGCAACCGGTCCAGGCGGTGGTGTGCCACCGGGTTATTTCCAAGGAGCCGGGCCAGATCCTATGCAAATGCAGCAACACCAACAACAACAACAACAGTATTTAGCAGCGGTTATGAACCAGCAACGAGCTATGGGAAACGAACGGTTCCAACCAATGATGTACGCAAGGCCACCACCAGCAGTTAACTACATGCCACCGCACCCGCATCAATATCCAAACCCGTATCCGTACCCGTATCCATATCCACCTCATGGGAATGATCAGTATTCTCATGTCTTTAGCGATGAGAACACATCAAGCTGCGATATTATGTGAGATTTGGAAAAAAGAAAATCTTAAAATAAAACTTTGTGTATCCTTTCTTTTCTTTTGTATTCGACGGATCAAATCCTAAGTTCTTTTAGGTTGTTTGTTTTCTCAGTTTGTGATAGTTTTGTAGAATTATGATATATGATTTGGACGTACGTTCTTCTATAAATTAAGTTATATTGAAGTTGTTTTTTCTCCTTCCATGTAGTATATTTTTTTATTTGCAGTTCAATAAAATAACGAACATACGATATTGCTATGAGCAGATTCGGTAGATACCACCAAATCATGATTAGATAGATATGAATATTCATACGTTTGGTATATAGTATTTGTTAACATATTTTTACTCGTATAAAATAAGAAGATACGGAGTCATAATGGAATTGGAGTTGTGTCCCACGGACTATATAATAAAGATCCTTTTCCTCCACTATATATGGATCTTGCTTTAATTTTTTGTTGTTATTCTTAGTTCTGAATTAAATCAAAGGGAAAAAATTTATATATTTTCTGCAGTCTTGGTTTAAGGTTAAAAAATGAGGAAAAGTCAGCCTATTGGTTGCATTTCTAATTCAAAAGTTAAAAAGGAAAGAAAAATAAGGTAAACAATAATCTGAATATAACGACATATAACTAATTTGGTGAATAATAATAACAAGAACTGGGTCGTGATCACGTTACATTTGTCTACCTAGTACATAAAAAAAAAATTGGTCATCAATCTCTATCACCATTTCACGTCCGACGTAACCGTAGGTACTCTCGTTACACTATTGGGACACTATAGAGCAACCAAATCAAATTACAATCATGACTTTAATACAGAAACTTTAAAATTGAGCGTTATCACTAATGCCCATACGATGTAGAGTAGTAGAATATCCAAGACTAAACATAGGAGATGAAGAGAGATACCCATCATCTTCATGCATGGTCATGATGAT